GAAGGCTAAAGAGTGTTTCAAAATAAAGTGTATTTGGGTAAAATTTAAAACTGATGAAGCTTAAAAAGAAAACTTATTTTAACTTTTGAATAGATTTGAGTTGCAAGCAGACATCTCATACCAAGCAATTAATGTTGGTTTCTATGTGAAGACCAGATCAGAAAGGAAACAGAAGATTTTACCCACCTCACATGGGTGGTGCGAAAGTATACCAAGTTTTAGCCCATAAGGAATGTATAACTTACTAAAACTTGAGAATGCACTTTGATTACACTTACTGACAAAATCCATCTTTTTGTTCATACATATTTCTGCCTTTTAAAATAAGTTCAACCCAGTGAAATTCAAATCTTTGGACAAAGAACTAGTCTATTTCTGATCATTTCTAGTCTGTCTCACCATCACAATCCAGTCTTTCCCACAGACTCATCTATAGAACTAACAGTTCTTTAATATAATTTCCTGATGAGATTGCAAATATTATGCACTGACCTAAATAATAATTGAGTCAGATCACTTTGTAGATACGAAGAGGATGAAAGCAGACAATAAAGGGCCTAGTTTAAGCTTTAGTATTTTGTTTCACAAACATATAGAACCTGCGACTTCTTTGCTAAAAATCCACTTTTAAATCTTGTAAATATTCGCCACATCTCTATTGGGAACACCATGTCTCCATGTAGTTTAAGTCAGCACGCTAAGTTTACAGCCCTTAGAAAAGTCAGCTCCTAACACTTGGTATTTCCTAACTATAACCAAAGCAAAGCTGGCATTCAGTTATAGTAATGAAGATTTTTTTTAATGTCCAGAATAGCAGATTCAAGTATTTCAATAAAGAGTTTTAGATTGACATTTAAAACTAAATAAAACTAACAAAATATTTCTATCTGCTCTATGAAAACATTGTTATAAACAAAGCTGGTGTGAGGTGCAGAGAAAAACCTTTGCAGCAGTACTTCGATATGCAAATATATATGGCCTAAAGAAGGCTTATTTACTCCTTAAGGCATATAAAGAATTTAGGACTCAAACTATTAGAGATTACTCATATTTATGGAGTGAAAAATAGTCTGGTCATAATTGAGGTCAGATCGTGTTTTCATGACCTAATTAACTCTTTGATAACAATCCAAATGTGTTGCAAAGGGATTCAGCAAAAATGTACGTTACCTGGTTTACAAAGTTCTGCAATGACTTGCATTGTCTTACTTTTATATAACTACATAAAATAGATGAGTTAGGGTTTTTTTTCTCATCAGTGTTTGAAAGATCGCATATATTTTGGTTTTGGACAGGATTAAGAATTGTTTTGGTTTGTTTTTTTAAAAGGACTCTCAAGATGTATGGAATTCTGTTTCCTACTTTACAGTTGTGTGAATGCTTTTGGTTTCTTTGGATTCCTTCATTTCTCTTGGTCAAACTTTCTGTTTTACGTCTTGCATCTTAGAAAGCATGACTGAGTCTCAATTGTGCTTTTATCACTAACTTCTACTTCCAATATGCTTTGCTGACACTCAATGGCTATCGCTTGCATCAGACTGTTATCTGGAAACGAACGGCAGATCTTTATTCTTTGTATGCAAGCATCACTCCAGGCACGGCTGAGTGATTTTGTTGTAGTGATGTGGAACAGAATAGTTTACTCCCCAAGTCCCTACCCATTCTGCCTATGGATAAGGATTTTTTTTCTTCACAGGTTTCTCCGTAAAGCCAGGTGATGGACAGCATTTATAAAAAGAGTTGAAAGTTTGATTGCTTACTAATTAGGGGAAATCCTGAAAGAATGATTTCTATAAAGAAGGCAAACGAGGGATGCTCTCCTTGTCATGAACTGGAAGAGAAACAAGAATATAATGATCTAAGCAATGGCAAAGTCACCTCTGAATTTCGTTTGCATATGTGAGAGAGAAAGGCCTTGAGTTAGTAACATGACAGGATGCATCAAAATATCAAAACACTGGAAAGTGTCAAAAGAGCAGTGACGACTTTCATCTTCACATTTCCAGGGTTTACCCAACTCTTGCTTTAGCTTCTGGTGAGGACTGTCCTTTGAATACAGTAGTGGATGATCTCAGGGCTGATCTAGTGTGCCATTGCATCAGTTCTATGGGGGTGGGGGGCAGAAACCCAGATCAGTAATAATAAAACTAATACGTAATTGAAGTTTCTATTGTACTATGACATAATCCTGTAATTGTGTTCTTAGTTCTTCTATTTCTTGCCCTTCCAATCAACATTAAAGACGACTTTAAGCTACGCTCTATCCCTTTCAGTGGGTTGTGTGATAAAACCAGAGCAACCTTTCTACCAGAATACATAGAAAGTTAGGTCAGTGTTGAATAATGTATTACCAGAGTGTGATAGCTCAAGGTAACTGCCCGTCTTCTCCCCTGCAGTGTCCTGCTTTGAACATACAAATTCCCATCTTACAGTAACTTTAGCTCCTGCTCTTCCTATTGCAATACAGTCAAAAATACTGGAAGAAACCCGTAACTCCTAATTTCCTTTATATTTGTATTAAATAGAGTAGTATATACAATTTATAATTTCTACAGAAATACATATGTATATATGCATACATAAATACATATATAAAACCTTTTCTATTTATCTGCTCTTTTTACTGTATTGTTTGTTTGGTTAGTGTTTGACCATAACCAGGATTGTTAAGAACTGACATTAATTGTAAGTAATTACATTTATTCTAAGATATAACTTGACATTCTTAACATTATTATTATTGATTACACCTGTGTCTCTACAAAGCGCGTAATAGGAAATTACATATTCCTACCATTCAAACAGATGTGGAGAACCAACCCTTCTCTATCTTTTCCACATGAAAAGCTCCTTTGAAAAAAGATAGGCAGTCTTTGTGGTTATGATGATATATGCTGTTAAATATCAAGAGCTGCTAGTACATTTTTAAGGTGCTGATACAGCTTCCTAATCAGGAAGTTACCACTATTTTATACATTGAAATACTACACTTCAAGGAGATAATGACTATTTAGTAATCCTCTGCATCTGCTGTAAAATTCATATTTAGATTTCTTTTAAACAAACATCAGATACAAAACTTAGCTTCTTCAGTGTCAATTGTTTTCCCACAGCTTTTAAATATTTTCATTTTTTGCATAAATCAATTTTAATTTTTAAAGTACTTTGCAAACTCTTATATATATTACTGTATTCAAAATAGAAAATTAGTAAGTGAAGCAAGAATATTGTCGTACTGAAAAATAACCTCTGGGTCCCCACAGCACAGTTTACTTTTTGCAAAATAAGATGTATTTACAGATTATAAAATAGTTGCCCAGTGTCCACGTTTTAATTTTTTTAAAAAATAGTATATAAAGGCTGAAAATGGGAAAAATTGTCATAATTTTAGTTTCAAAGCAAAATGAAGAAAGAATTCAGTGCACTTACAAATACATCCAAGTATGCTAGCCTGTAGCCAGTCAGGAAAAGCAAATTGCAAACATGACATTTCTGTGCAAACAATGGTTATTATTGACTCAAATCTACTTAAATTGTCCCCATCTAAGCTCTTCAGAATTAAAAAACAGGGAGAACAAAAAGTGATCTTACATGTTCAGTCCAGGTCCCACACTAGTAAAAGCTATATACTTCTCTTGAAATAGGAGGAGGGAAACAGTTGGAGCTAGGTCATCAGGTAGTTAGAATTGTTACAGTGCCAGTAAAGCAGTCAACAACTTACTGGAGCCAGTCAGCCCCTAAACATTTTCTCACAGTGAATAAGATGTTTGTTTAGGCAAAGTAAAAGACCCTGAATTTCCTGAATCAATGCAGCACATCGTGTTTCTGTTAATATTAATTTAATTTTTAGGTACTAAAATTAATTTAAAGATACAAGTCTTTAATTTTTATTTGGCTGCATGTAAAACTTCTTTGTGTGCTTTTGACTCCCACCAGTGACCCTAACACCCACAATGAAGTTGGTTGGGGTTTGATTTGACTAGGCCTGTCTTTCCTGATTACATTCTAAAGAAGGATTATGGAGATGAGTGGTGAATATACAATAAAAAAAAAGATGACTATGAAATATGAGAAAGAAATCCTCTGACTGTTTGTACTGAGAGTGACAAATAAAATATTATTACTTTTAAACTCTGAATATACTGAGAGTACTTTGCCTCTGGAAAAAAGTTCTAGGGAGTTTGCTATGGGCAGCTCAGTAGGATCAGCTGATAAAATGCAGCTTGTTCCCTAACTAGTTATCAAGACTTCCTTCCAGGATGTTCCCTGGAGCTGGAGGCTTGCATTTAGCTTGATGGGTAGCTGGATCTTTCTGTCTATTCAGCTTTAGACCTTGAAAACTCCCTGACATCTCAGTCCTGCATTTCTAGATCCTGCTGAGAAATTGCTTGTTATTCATCTGGTTGTACTTCCACGGTCACTCTCAACAAAAAAATTACACTATCATAACTAAGCAGTACATAAACAATAGTTTCTATTTCCTTTTTCCTTGTATATTGTTTTTTATAAATACTATCTCAAATTAAAGTAGATGAATTAAAGAAAATCAGAATTTGTCTTTTCTATGAAAGGATAATGAAAAATGATGGGATTTCAGCTCCCTTTCATAGGATTTCTTAACGTTATTTTGGGTCAATTTCAAGTGTTGAAAATCAGTGCAGCTCCTAACCTTTCAGTGAAACCATGCAAAGTTATGACAGTCCAGAATCAAGCTTATTTTAGCAATCCTTATTGTATTCTTAAAAAAAAAAAAAATCCTGTTATTGATGTTTTATATCAATATAAACATTCATTGTTTGTAACAGAACAAATGCACATTCTTTTCTCTGACAATTGAACAGAATAATTTAACAAGAACTTTTATAGTATGATCAATGTAAGAAACCTTAAGAAATATCGTGCAGTTTCTGTCTTTTTGATTTGTCCAGAGTTTGTTTCCAGGTGATGTCCAACATAAATATTCCCTGTTTGAAAACTGAGAGCACCTGTGGATTGATCAATCCTTTGAAGTCCCCTTCAACCCTACATGACCTTCAGTGATTTCTTTGAAACCTTGAGCTGTTCTTCAGAGGGACTGATGGTCATTTCGAAGATGCATTGCAGTAGGTTCAAAAAACTGGAAGAAAAATTTAGAGAGAAGTTACATTTTGGGTTAACAACTAAGTTAACCAACAAAACTGTCTCAGCAGACTTAAAATAGAACTGCATTACAAGGGAAAATCCTCTTAGAACTTGAGGTTCATTACCTGGATCATCAAAGCTCAATTGTAATTATGTACGGTGATGACTGTTTTCTCCTCAACTTTATTTTATATATAGTTACATGAAACATCATGTAACTATAGGCACTGCGAGCTTTATGAATATTACCATATTGAGGCTAAATACTTTTCTAGTTCTTGTTTCCTTCTCTGTTCTTGTTTCTTCCCATGTGACATCATTAGTGTCTCCTTATCTCCTTCAACCTGTTATGTAACTCTTTTTCTGCCATCATACTATGTTTTCTGAGTCCAAACAATATCCAGGACTCGGCACATTTAGCACATTCAGTGACTTTGTACCTTCCTCTGTTCCCAAACATGAAAATTGGCCTCTGCTTGTTTTTCTGCAATTTATAAACAAAACTTCAACATCATACCCTTCTTTAGTTTGATTCACTCCATCATTCAATGTTTCATTACATTAAAAACTGTAATATAATATTACATAGAATAATTAAGACCGGTTACTTTACAAAGAAGATGTGTGAGATGCGAGAACATATGCATTGCAAATGATACAGCAAAGGTAGATTAAGTACTTGTATTCTCATTAAAAGGGCACTCTTTGCATTCTAAATCAAGCAAATTTTAAAATAAACTAAGCATGCAATTCACCTACCAAGGTCGCTGTCATAAGTTAGTGTTCAGCTCAAGGACTCAGTGAGATTTAAAACCAAAGCCAAAAAAGCTGTATGACAAAACAAAAAGCTAGAAAAACGTTTTCGCATTTGTCAGACAGGTTTGTTCTCCTTTCAAGAACTTCCCTATTTGGCTAATCTAGACACGTGTATCATTTGTTACTGTATACAGCTTTTTGTGAGTGGCAGATATTATTGCACTCCACAGAAGAACACGCGCCATACAAACATGCCTGTTCCATTTTGCATGTATAAACCATAAGGATACCACGTCTTCAAACCTTCCATCTAAATTAATTACAAACTGACCTTACGTAGTGAGGGAGTAAGTTCTGCTAGAGTAACTTTAATGCTTTATTTTTTTCATATTATAAATGGCACAGTGATATTGCTACAGTTAAACATCTGTCAGCATTACAGTTACAAAACCTTCTAAGAGAAAGGAGGGGGGGGGGCTTATCATACAAGTATCAGCATTTTCTGTGTCTTAAAACTGTTTTTTCAACCACGTATTCTTTCATGTACGTATTTTCAAGTACCTCCTTTTTTCTACTTTTATGTTGTCCTTGGTTATATTAGCTTCTAACATCATGCTGTCTAGCAAAATGCAGGCAGAGAACTATACTAGCTTCATTTCTATACTCTTACCAACACTGTTGTCCTGCAGCACTATTGCTGCTCCACAATGCAAAGCAGTTTATTTTGAAATATCTTTTATGTACTAAGTTGCATGGTGGATGACTGGTACTGAAGAAGAAGGTTTTCGCACTCATTCCAATGGAGAAGAGAATCATTTATTTAAATAATAAGGCCAGAGGATAACTTAATTCCCCTACATGTGTAAAAAACATTCAGTTGAAGCACTTAATTTCAACTTGGATTTTCTTTTTCCATTTTTTAATTCAGAGGTTGCTGCTATTTTGCTTAAAAATGTAACAAAAGAATAATTTTACAATGAAAGCTTTCTACTAAACATCCTAATTTGCTGAGCTGGACTTGATTCAGTATATATGGAAGTACAAATAGAGAGTTCAGTCAAAGATACCCTTGTTATCTGCCCAATCCTGTCTGCTCTGAAAAATAATATTCAGATGTTTAAAGGCACACATTTTATTAGAAACACCTTCATTATACAGACTTTCAAATCCTAAAATTTCTGGGCAATTAACATACTCTTACTTTACATGTATAGTAAGAGAAAGGATGATTAACCTGAAGTCTTCCAAAAAGAAAATTATTAAATGGAGGGGGAAGAAAAAGATACTTTGAGGAGCACTTTGAAAAGTACTCAGGTCCCAATGTTCTTATAAATACTATCAGATACAATACATGAGAATGACGACTTCATTTCTGTAACATATGGCCCATTACTTAAGCCATACAAAATCTGCTTAGTAGTGCACAGAAATACGACCAAACAGCTTAGGAGAGAGCTCCTCATTTCATGCAACTCTGTGTCAGTACATTAACAAGGTTGCTCATTCTAGTGGATGCTCTGAATCCAGAACATGAAGTAAAAAACAGTTCTTGTACTTGCTTCAAAGTCAAAGGAAGAGTCTGGTCAAAAGATAACGATGCGAGTTGAAAATTGCCTTTGATTCCAGTGCTAATAGCCTGCTTTTAGAAACAGATTCATGAATTGCTTCTTGATTTATTTCATATGCATCATCCAAAGACAGTAAGTAGCTGTTTGGTTTAGGAATGCCCACATGACAGACTTTGGTGAATGATATTCTGCACTCCGAACTACACTAATCAAAAAAATCCTAGAAAGCTGCACTACAAGAACTTATGTACAGGAAATTCGGTTATTTCAATTAACTGATTAGATTTTTTTTTTTCCATTTTGTTTTTGAAACAAAAGCGAATTAACTCAAAGTAGTAACTCAAAAAAGAAAAGCTTATATACCTGAGATACTGCACAAAATGCAGTTTCTAAATTAAATTAAATTTCTTAACTGAATAATACTGTGCCAATATCTAATCTTTTGGGCTTCAGCTTGTGACTGAGTTGAACTGGCCTTGAAGCATACCATGCTTTGCTCACCTAACTTTTGCATCTCCTCTGCTTGAATGGAAAGGCTTACATATTTTAAATTATTTTTAAAGTAGAGCAATCCTGTTTTTTCCTTGAAAGTAGCAACTGGAAAAGAGATACAACATACTGAATAGAAACCTAGCAAAGTATGTCACAATCATTATTAGTTACAACTGAGTACGCAAACAGGAGAATGTAATTTATTAAGAGCTTGATCAACATTCTATATAATTGTTTACATTCTTCATAATTCAAAACACATTGCAGCTGTCAATACTGTTGTTTTCTAAATCTTGTTGCTGGATTTCTGACATTGTATAAGGCTACAATAGAACATAAATTTCTGAGTTTGTGAGCACATTTCTGAGACTGCAAAAGTGGCATTTTAAAAATATTTATAGTCAGCACTACATTCTAGGCTTTAGAAGTATTTTAAAAGCCTAGTTCTAATATAACTATTAATATACAACGTTCAGTGCAAATATTTCATCACTACCAAGGGAAATGGCATCTATGTTCCAAATATTTCTAGATCCAAAATGGGAATTGTTGAATGAAATCACTGGAGTTATGGCAAACTACACAAGCTGAGAAACTGGCCTCTAAACAGAAGCTGTAACGATTATACATGAGCTTTTTGGATACTTCCCTTCTCCAATTGAGATAAGTAATTTGCACACATAGTCAATATTTTAATAGCAGGATCAGTAACTCTGGCACAAATGCTAAATTTAGCATTGGGCAGATTTTGAGTGGCCAGGAGTTAGCAGCTGTGACCTCTTGAGAGAGACATCTGCAGGAACATTTGTAAGAGACAGTGCCTCCTATCTTCCTGCTCTCCTGATTTCAGATAAGCTGCTTGGCAGCACACTCCATCTTTGAGAGAGAGTATTTTACAGATCACACAGTAGCAAAAAATCAGCAAAATTAGAGGCTAGTAGCCTTTGCTTCAAGCAGAGGCACGATGCCATCAATCAGCTGATCAGCACTGCCTTGTTACTTTGAACTGCAACATCTCTTGGCTGTCCATGAGATTTTCCCTTGGCCTGCTTTACCTCTAATAAAGGTACAATCTGCTCACCACTCATACCCGATTGCCAGCCTCTGTTTTTATTGATGTAGGGACTCTGTGCATTCAGTACTATCTAAATGCCATCATTATCTCTCTAGCTGTCCTAAATAAAGCTAAATGTACCAATCGTATTGACTACAATGTACAGTGAGATTCAAAAACTCTATGGCAACAAGGCAAACAAATATATTTTTTTACGAAAGAAATGGGACACCATTAGCTGTATTTAGGCAAAAGGGAAAAATTAGAGAATTAAAGCATTAAAGACTTAAAGTTTAATGACTAATCACTGATTGATTATTCCAGACATGCTCAATTTGCAGGGCACACATTTCTTCTGGACCTCATGGATATCTAAAGACATGATCGCTCTGCCTGATTTGAACAAACTTAGACAAAGAATTTAGCAGTTTTATCTGCATAAAACAGTTCAGCTATATGAAGAAACAGGAAAAATAAGTGTTAAAATGTATAAAACAGGGACTCCTGATTCACAAACTGTATATTGCAGATGTCAATTCTTCGCACACAGACTGTTTAGAATGAATAACAAACTTTTTTGGGGAGACTTATCTTATTACCTCACTGAACAAACCTTAGGAGACATTAAAGTTCTTATCTCCTTCACTGCATTGCTTCAACAGATAATTCTATCATTCCTTACAGCAGATAAGAAGATTAAGAGACGGAAGATCTAAGATTAGTTTGTTTGCTCGGAATGGTGTCATACATTGTCTTACACAATGTGTTCTGCTCAGTGCAACATGGCATAGAAATAACTGTTTACATTTCTCATCTTCAAATAGCCTTTCTGCTTTGTACTGAGTGCCACTAGTGCTGGAAGCCACAGCTGATTTTTTAGAGATAGCTGTTTTCAGTAACTTTCCTCAGAAAGGACTTATTAACTGGAGTTGCGAGAATAAATGAAAAAGTAAAATAATATTGGTCAAGTAAACATATTACATGTTATAGACAGGTATTCAGAAATTCTACTCACTTCCATAGTGTCTTTTGAAAGATAAACGACCCAGTATACCAAGTTGAATCCTGCAAACGCCACTGGAAAGAGGATCCTAGAATACTGATCTATTTTACTTGTGCCTCCAATAGGTGGGGGTGGGGGGGCTGGGGGAGGAACAGATACTGGCTGACACTGGGATCCATTATTTGATATTATGCTGGCTTCAGTAGACTGATCTGCCTGAGATGTTATGGAGTTTACTCGCTTCTTCAGGTTGCAGTTGGAGTCAGAATGCTGTGGAAGAAAAAAGAGAAAGGAGGAAGAAAAAAAAAAAAAGTGATTTTTGGACAGAGAGTCAGGTTTTATCATTAGGCTTCTCTACAACTTTTTAGTGTACAACTTTCTCATTTTATTGCTGCTTCTCTGCTATAGAGCAATCTAAGGAAATCACCAAAATAATGCAAATGTACAGAGTTACATTGTAGCCTAAAGCTTTGCTGTAAAAACATAAAAGAATACATACTTTCCATTTTTTTTAGCATGGTAATAAATGGAAGCTACAAGAGATAAAGAAAAAGAAAAGACAGAGCTAAGAGGAAAAGAAGGTAATGGTGTGTATAAATTGCAATATATTGGTATGACTGAAGTTTATGTAGATACAAATCCAGTTTAAACGAAATAGCACGTATGGGCTGGCTCAAGTGCAGTCTTCACTGTGTGAGCCAATTGATGAGTTTTGGTAAACACTGACTGAATGGAGGCAAGCTGTCACACTGTACTAGTCGCCAAACTAGCTGCTGATGAACTAGAAAACTGCTGCATGAAAGGAAACAGGCTAACTTTACAGGTGCCGAAGACATGAATGTTAGATTGTCCTATAGATTTTTCTGGGATAAAATTTCGTTTTCAAGTATATCTTATGTTTCCCACAGCAGTTTCGTGAGTACAGCTGAAGACAAATGCTCATCCCAACTATTTTTATTTTCATTCATGGCAAAATGAAACCAAACTATTCCTATTTTTTGTGCAATATTCATAGCCAGTCAAATTACTGTTCAGAAAGCTGTATGAAAACTCTTAAAAATTTAGTCAGGCCTCAGGAACATGTAGAGTTTACCTCCTAGTTGCTAGGCTGACATGTATATTCATTACATACACCTGTCTTATTTGTTGCCAAGTTGCCATTTTTTTACTTTCACCAGAGTAGAAGTAATAGATTTCGTCCATGCAAATAGCTTAGGAATAAGATCTACCACAGACTCTAAGCCTGCTCTGATGGAGATCAGTTACCCCCTTTCACAGCAGTATCAAATGGGGGGAAATTTTCAAAAGCCTTGCTGCTACTGCCACTACCCAGGACTACTGTTAGTAACATGGATGCATGACAGCAGCCATAAGATTCATCTGATGGCTGAGAAAATACAGAAAAATGCCTAGAGTGTCAAGTTGGCTTTTATTGTTTTTATATGAAGTACTCAAGATTTCTCTTAATAGGGAGCAACAGAAATACCTTTGACTCTAAAAAGCAATGCTAACATTCAACATTTTAGTGAAGATTGAGTCTAAAGCTTCATCGATCAACAACTGCAAAACTTATTTCCAGATTATTGATGAAAAATCTTGTGCACCGTGTACGCAGCTATTCTTGGGTGTGAATAAAGAGCTTTTTTTGGTTAGCAGAACTAGATGACCAAATGACTGAAACTGATGATGGAAGTCTTAGAAAAAGGAAATAACTTATAACAGCATATATATCTGTTGTAAAATGGAATAGTAACATTTGAATGGTTTTAAGGTAGAAAAATTCTGTTAGATATTTGTTTTCCAAAGTAATTCTTTGAGAGTGACTTAGGGACAATCGTTCACTTAAATGTAGCCCACTGTCAGCATTTTTGGGATTTATCTTGCAGGATTTCTATGCGTGGAAACAGATGTTAGTCAATCAGATAAATGACTGGGTCGTTAAGAGGAAAAGCAGCATTTTCTGAACTATATTGCCTATATTTGTACTTGGGCCACAATTGCTAGATAAAAGACTAGCCTAACATACCTGGTATCTCATGTATGGCTTAAAATAGAGTTATAACAGGAATTATCCCTTTAGCGGTAAGTGTTACTGTTATAGTGGCAGAACGAGTGATGTTGCTACAACATGATGCTAAGTCCTGCTCATGGATGAATGGACTGGTATCCAACTGAAATTAGGGAGAGAGGATGGATTCCTCACAGCTGATTTTAGTCTAAGAAAAAGGTGGTGAGAACAATGTCTAATTTTGGGAAAAAAAAAGATAGATAAGAAGTGCTTTCTGTATATGTCTTACACATTGCCCTTTCTTCCCTCCAGCCCATCAATACTTCCAACTTGCCATATCCTTCCTTCTTCCACTTTGCCATCTACACATTAAATGATTAGTATCACATTTTGAATGGATAATAAATGGCATTCATATTCTGGGGCTGTGCCTATCTGGAACACAGATGTTTGTTTTTCTGTTTTCCAGTAATACAGCAAGCAAGAGACAGATTTAAATGGAGGATGATCTACAGATGTGTCACAGAACAGAAAGAGGGTTATCCATGTCCACTTGCGCTAATCATAATAATAATAATCCCACTCTGTAAACAGACTGACTGGCAGAGCCTGGGCTACTGCTTTCATTCACGTTGCTATCCCATTTTGCTTGTATGCCCTGCTTTGAACTGAATTGTAGAAGTTGTAAGGTAGCTTGTCTTTCACTTTATTCAAGGTAGCTTGACCTTTTGTGGAGAACGAGTGGTTCCTAAAAATATAAGCGCTAAGGTGAATCTTCGCCCTTTTTACCTGCAATATTCTGGTATAAGGTGGGTCAAATTCTGCTCTGAATCATTTAAGCATGAATCAGGAGTTATTGTACTGAGGTGGTGGAACTAATAGTAGACAGAACAGATGTAGTATATGGTCTGTGGATGACGGTCAGTACCGAACCTATTTAGAATGTACAGGTAATAAAATCAATATGATCATCTAAATAAGCACTTGGAAAAGTGTAATCCTGCTCATTTTATTTATAATATTTATTAAATCTCATTCCTATAGATGGAGGATTATCTCAATGTGATTTCACCTCAAGTTAGAGACAGGAAGAACTGGAGCTAGTGTGTATAATCAGAATTTGGGGAGCGCAGTAACTAACTTGATTATGCTCCCACTTTGGGGCCATTTTAGGTTCATTTCTATCAATGGAGTGATATCAATAATTTCTTATTACCTAAAATAGTATATTTCAGTATTCAGGAAGGACCAGTGCAATTTACTGTCTTAGTAGAGCAAGTTTTTTGTTATGCTCTTTACCTACTAAGGAGCTGGTTTAGAGTGTATATAAATTATTAAGTCCCTGAGTAGTTCTTTACACTGTCTTTAACACCCTCGTGTGCCCATCCATCAAGCTGGGGTCAAGACTATTTTCTTGTATACCACTACCCAGGATATGGAATTCTAAGTCTAAATTTCTCTCAGATGTGTAATGAAGATGATGCTCAGTGCGGTAGCTGACTGTAGACCAGACTTACTGCCCCAGAACCACAACCCATATTTTTCATTGGAATTCATTGCTAAACCAAAAGGAGGAGGCAGTAAGAGGAAACCATACAGTTTCTTATTACAGTTGAGTTCTGAACAGCAGTTACAGTAATTTGTCTACTGTATTTAGATTTAAATTTTCCTTTTGTCAAAGATTACCTACAAAGACATCATGAAACTTTAGCAAAACAGAGAGAGAAAAGAGGACTGAATAGCCTATTTTGCATAGTTCACACAGCCGTTCACTCAAATAGTACGGACTGTTTTACAAGTAGCAAGAGCAACAAGCAGCCTGAGGCATGGCACGTTGTGTCATAATGAAATGATGAATTTTGTTAGGTTACTGAATCCTCATTCAGAGAAGAACTCTTGCACTCGTGGAATGTTAGTCCCATCAGGCAATTAAAATTGTCACTATGTATGACTATGCAATGACACAGAACAGATTGGAAGATCACTGTTTAATGTGAGATACCATAAAAATGGACTAGACAAAGACTGGTATGTGTATGGGCTAGTCTGGCTTCTATTAAGCTTTTGCAGCCCAGCTACCTGATCCCCTAGAAAGCTCACAAAGTAGTCTCGTATATAAAGGTGCTGCTTTCTCACAACTCTCATCAACATCAATAGAATTTGCTTACACTCAGAATATTTCAGGAGGCTCTCAGCAAACTGTTTGGCTTCCAGATTTAAACAAATACAGCATATATAACCTTGGAGTAATCAGAATTCTTTGTCTGCTTTTTCCAATTTTTGTATGGATGCTAACTATGATTTATGAACATGCTTTGTTCTTATGTTTCTTTTCCTCAAGAGATTTCCGTAATTCGTATTTGTAAAATTCTCTACTGTTCTCTGTTCCTTTGTACTGCAAATACATATTGTCACCATCAGCTCAGTTTATGACCTAGCACTAACATGAGTATCTTATGTATGTACTCAGATACTGGCTAACTTTAAACAAATGAATAGCTGTATGTCCTTACTTATCTGTCTTTTACTCACCCATGTTTCTTTTTCCTGCGGGCAACGCAGTAAAAAGAGGTTCATGAGAATAAACTCTAAAAGTGTTATTCCTCCTTTTCTTTATAATTTATTGGATTAAGGATATTGAACTTCGCTACACATTTAAAAAAAAACAGAAACAAAAAAATCAAGGACCAAAACTCAATGTCCGTACAAGGCAGAATACTAAATTAAATACATAAAATTATTTTTCCTTGCCCATCTCATTAGCAGATGCAGTTTGAGTAATTTCAGTCATTCATATTATGCACATAAAATCACATGCTAGTGACTTAGCTCCCAAAGAGGGAGTTAAGCATAGTTTATCCCTTACATTCAACAGTGCGATCTGTAAAAACTCTGCTTAGCTACTGAACAATCCATATGCAGCACCTTGCAGCAGGAAAGTTCACCACATTATGTAAGATCTCCCTTTGGGCTTGCACTAAGGTACCTCAGCCTTTACAGTCCTGTGGAGTTTAAGCATCCATCTCATGACAGAGATTCATTATAACCTATAATCTAAACATTTCTTCGCATATCTCATCTCCGGGATCAGATTCAAACAATGTGTTTTGAACACATCTATAAACAGTCTTCTGCGTAATTAAAAGCTAAGTATAGTCTAGAAGTCATTAATAGTCCTAGCTTTAGGCATCTCTAGGAATGATAAGATTCTTTTCACAGAAATATTATGAGGAATAACATGTAAATCTGTTTTCTTTGTGCT